GGCGCAGTAGGTAGCCTTCCCATCCGCACCGAGTTGGGGGCGGCAAGGACGCCACTTTCACATCCACCCCCTAAAACCTTTGCGGTTCAGTTTGACAGCCGGATCGGAATTGGTAGTGGGCGCGCATCATTTACACACTTGGACTTTTCTTTCATGGTTGTTGCTTTTCGGCTACACTGCCAAAAAATGGTCGGAATCCATACAGATGTGGTGTGGTTGTCGTGTTGGGGCAGCCAATGAGAGCAGTAGCTCCTCGGGACCAACCACCGTAGGGCAATCAGCGGCAGAGGATCAGGCACGAGCGGGGGTGGAGATGTCGGGGAGGAGGAACGAACACGGCCCGTGCGGCTCCACAAGACAAGCCTCTCCCTCGTCGAGCTCGGTCTCTCTCTCTCCCTCGTCGAGCTCGGTCTCTCTCTCTCTCGCTCGCTCACTCTCTCTCTCTCTCTCTCGCTCTCTCTCTCGGTCTCTCGCTCGCTCTCTCGCTCACTCTCTCTCGCTCTTCAGGGCCATGTAATTGCTGGACCTAGCCGGCCCAGAGCGCGCCCCGGGCACCTCCACGAGAGAGCGGCCCGCCGAAGAAAAGGAACTTCCTTCCCCCTGCTCGTCACCGAGAACAACAACACAACACACTGCCCTGCTGCAGCTTCCTGCTCGCGTGTCGTCCCGGTCCTTTTGCGGGCCCATAATGGCGATGCACTGCAAAACGTTTTCGTGAGTGAACGAAAACAAAATGTGGCGAAATGCCTTAAAAGAAATAATTTTTACGGATTTTTTTTTCGTACGTGTCACGTTCAGAAAATTTTCGTAAGGTTATACAAAAGTTTCCTAACGCTTACACACTTGACGGCTTATCGGCCTCAATTAGAATAAGCTCAGGGATCAAAGCGCGCCGTCACCAAATCGTCAATAGCTTGTGTCGTGTGACCTCCGCGACCTCCCTCTGCGAGTCCCAGAGACTACAGAATGTGGTACCCACACCTCCATTTCTTTAGCAACCCCCTCCCCGTTCACCCTGCGCCCACAACAGAACGAAAGGGCGAATTAATTTTACGAAAACGCAGAAATAAAGAGCCGTTCCCAATACCGCACCGTGTGGTGGCACCGCCCGCACCGCCGCCACCGGCGACGATCTCTTTTTCATTATGTATTTTTTTCACAAATTTTTTCCCGGCATCGCTTTTCATTATCGTCGACGTTATTTTTTATTTTTTTCATTATTATTTTTACTCCCCTGCCGCTCCCTCTCTCAATCTTTTCACAGTTGGCGCGCGCGAGAGGTGAAGAGGGGAGAGGGAAGAGGGGAGTCACGGCGAGAGAGAGAGAGAGAGGGGGGGGAGGGGGATGGGCCATGGTTATCAGCAGCAGCAGCGGGTCCGGCTGTGGCTGCCACCCCATAACATTAGAGGGAACGAAAGGCGAATCGACTTTTGTGGGGGAGCGGGGCGATTGCCACGCGCGCCATCAGTGTGTTGTTCTGTCCCCCCC